AGTGTGCGACAATTTTAATTTGCTGTGTTTTTACGCCCGTTTGGGGTTTTTTATTTCTTCTTCAGTTTTTTTTTTCAGCTCCGCTCAGTTCCTGTTGCTGGTCGACAATGATTGCTGCACTTAGCCGTTGTTCAAGCCGTAAATCGTCGCCTCCGCTTCCGCCGATGACGGAAGTGCAACATTTAATTACGTCCAGCATGGCAAACGATTCCGTTTCATTTGATGTGGAGTGGAATCAACGATTACTACCACCGCCCCACCAGAAATCCACTTGCAATCAGTTGAGCGTTAGAATTGAGTATGAATATCGTGTATACGGCATGAGGTACTGCTGCTAAATGAAGTCAACTGAAAGGACAGCGCGAACAGATTGATGCAAACGCCCGTTGCAGATGCTGGCGATGTTGGCGATGTCCGGGCGAATTCATCCCAAAACTGGGTTAATTTCGGTCCGCGACTCTATTTCATTTGAAATGGAGCGCAACTATAATCACCAGAGCGGAAATACCGAGCGGGACTACTAACTCACATAGCTCTGGCCAATGGCATCCGGATTCGAATTCGGATTTGAGGGGTTCAATCGTGCGTGGAGTTTTAGCCCGGCCAAGGCGCAAAAGTTGCCATCGGTCGACGGCGACAGCTGCCTGCTCAATGGCCGCATCGTAATCTAATAGCCATGTGCAGAGCTCCGGTCCAGAGAGCTATCCTTTGGCATTCTGGCCTGCTCCTGACCATTCTGACCGGTCTGCAGCTAATGCATCTGTTAGTGCCGCTGTTTTCACCACAGCCATTTCGCTCTACGCCGCATGAGCCGCGAGCATTATTTTTGACCGCACGGGGAGTGTGTTTGTGCCCCATGGCGACATAAGAATCGACCGGGAAGGAACGAAGGGCCATTCAAAAATATTCCGAAGTGACCCTCCTGCTGAACTTCTGTTCGCATTCAGCTTTAAGAGACTGCAAAGTTTTGCATTTGATATTAAACTGGAAACAAAAATTTGTCACAGAAGTTATATTTCTGCAAGCTGTTTTGTATACGTAATAATAAAACGTAAACTTGGTAAAGAAAAGAAAACACAAAGAAAAAGATCTGTATATTTGTCGTATTATAAAAAGTTTTCTTTTATTTGCTTGTTGTGTAAGAAAAACTTAACTGATGTAAGTAAATGTCGTTTACTAAAAATATGACCCAAAACAGGAACAGTTTAAAGTTGTATACAGTCTTGTATATATATAAGTTTTAAATGCCTAAAACAGGATTTCATGTATGCTTAATTAAAAGTCAGATTAAATATTTAATTTAGTATTTTTCCGCCATCCAAAACTGTAAATTTTTATTTTCACAATGTGTTATGTGTTTGTTGGTTCACTATCACTTTACAAGCGCAACCTACTTTTGGGACTTTTATAAATTCATTTTTCATGCGATATTCAAGCGGTGCAATTTATCCACTTTGTTGAATTTAGGCAAAAATATCTAAATTGGCCTTCAATTGTTTAAAGGAGATAAGAATTTATATGAAAAAAGCTTTTTAACAAAATTTTTAAAATGAACAAAATCTAAGCTTACTATTTTTCGTCCATTAATAAGTCAAACTGTTGTTATCTCGCTCAGATTAGAAGTATACTGCGGCAGTAGTTTAATTTTGCAGGGTTCATCCGTATCGGGGCAAATTAATTGATTCAGATACGGATCGGACTAGGGTCGTTGATCTGTGCCGGCACTAAAAAGGAGTGCATTTGCGTGGCTTGGGTGGATTTATGAGCCTTTCCCTGGGCGACGAATTGCAGCAGAGTTTGTCAACGTTGCGTATACGCCGCATGGGATGGGCGAAGGAAAAATTTGTCAACATTTTCATGCCGGGACGGCATTTGTCGTACCTGACTGTTGTTTATGGTTGTCCCGGTGGCAATTTATGGCTGCCCATCTGGACCTTGTCTAATGACATAATTGGAGGCCAGGCCGACGTCCGTAGTGCAGCTTAAAGAGCAACAAAGAAACTTTGAGGCTGCAATTAATTTACGATTCTTTGTGCGGGAGCGCCCCCATTTTGCAGCCAATTGGGCGTGAGGAGTAGCAGTTGCCAGCTGCCACAAGCTGGGGCATATGTTGCCGCAAATTATAGCCACATTTGCTGGCAGCAGTCGCAGCCAAGTCGAAGCGAAACGAAAGCCGTTAAAGGGGGAGGAGACCCTGAGAAATTTGCCTGAGCCGCTTCATTTGCTCCGAATTGAATTTAAAGTCAGTGCTGGCCATGGCTAGCATCTATTTCACGTTGTGTGTGTGTTCGTGGTCGTGGCGCAATGCCAAGATGTGTTCCCGCAGCCCCTGGTTAGTGGCCCATTACCCCATCTTGCGCCTCCTGACCGCCGCAGGATCAACATTTCCCTTTTGTCCGCTTGCCAGACATCGCAGACTGGAAGGTTTTCACCGCAGCTGCTGCAACTGGAGCTTCCTTTGTGCTGCAACGGCTTAATCCGCTCGCCGGCCGTTTGCATTTCCCATTTCCCATTTTCCACGCTGCATATCGGGGCTGCAGCAGCCATGTGTTTTAGGAAGCTTAATAAGCGGCAACTGGATTAACTACACCCTGCCCAAAGGTTATACTTATTGCAAAGACAAGATCCTTCCGCTAACACAGACATTATATCATTATGAATTCAATTTTTTCAACAAATTTTTTGTCAAATAAAAAATAATTTTTCCCATATGGATTAATAAATATTCAACTTTTTTTCCAATTTTCGTATAACAAATATGTATTATATATATTATACCGCTGACTTGACTTTTTCTCACGTTTACCAAAGCCAATTGGCATTTTCGTTGCCATTGGCAAAACAGCGAGGATATTTCCCAAGGAATGCCCAAATGAATTTAGAGCAATTTTCAATTATTGCACAATCGAAGCGTAAATAAGTTGTAAATCATCAATTACCCGACAAAAAGCAGCCAGCTTCCACCCACGCACTAGCATTGCCGGGCTACAACAAGTGCAATTGCCAAGAAATCGCCAAAAGCGGATACGTGTCCTATCGCATCCCGAAAAGCAGCAGAGAGGAACACTGATATGAGGGCGCTGAGGAGCTGGGGGATGGTAGCTAGGAGCTGGGCGGACTGGGCGGACTGAGCGGACTAGGAACTCCGGCCCAGACAATGGGCAATCGTAAAAATAGCAACTAACAATCCAAAAAGCACTCGGCCACACTGAGACCAGAACAAAGTCGAGAACAGGAGATAAGCAGGGCCAGCTGAGAAGAAAAGGAGAACAAACAGTGCACTGAGAAAAAGGAGGTACAGAAAACCAGCCCAGCCTAGAAAGTTAAATATACAAATTGTAAATTTGTTAAAGTTAAGTCAAATGTTAGATCTCACTTTTTTTTAGTGACAAAATAATAATATAATTAAAGAAAATATTAATAATAAAATAAAATAAAATACTTTTAAATTTCGTTTTTTGTAGGTATATTTTAGTTTTGAGCCATTCATCCATTAAAAAACGCTTTCAAAATATAAATAATAAATATTTAACAATTGTTTATGCTCCCATGAGTATGTAAAGGCATATAAAATTCAATCTTTTTTAATTATTTTTGTAAAAATATGATTTAATTTGTATTAAATTTTATTCCAGTGTCGAGCCTGCAAGTGCTCCTAGTCGGGCAGTGAAAACCTTAAGTAGATAGATATAGAAATGTCTCTCCAATCCTGCTGGCATGTGATTTATGTGGTAAATAAAAGAAGGACAAGAACAAGAACTAAAACAAGCAAGGAAATCAAAACCCAAGGATGTGGGATGAGTCTGTAAGCATATGGATACCGGGATAGGGACTGCAACATGCGACTGCAATTGCAACAAGCAGTAAGCGGCAGGCGGCATTGGCAAAGACAAAGGCACAAGAACGGGCAGCGAAAGGGAGGGGAGAAGGGGCTGAGAAAGAGACGGAAAGACGAAAAGACGGGAGGCAGTACGTCGGCGAGACGGAGTAAAAGTTTTTAATATTATTTCAAGTCTGAAATGAGGGCAATCAGCAAGTGCAATTGTCGTCGAGCGGCTGGCATAACAAAGGAAGCGTTTTTTGGTAGTAAAAGTTGGGGGAGTGGCAGAAGGATGAACAGAACAAAGGCGTCACTGAGATGGATACCAGGAAGGCTCTGCCAATAAACGTTGGGAGCTGTCCCCCGTTAACGCGAAATGATGCATTCCAAACCCCATACCCAATAGCAACCTCTTAAGGTTGCTATATGTCTCTGGGGAAAACAAACAAAGGCCCCAAAAGGCAAAGAGATAAGGACAAAGAGATGGTATGGATGGTACAAGTAGGTAAACGATGTAGTTTCAATTAAGGATGTGCCGGGAAAAGGCGGCTGCAGTGCGCAATGAAGCGCATTGAAGGGCGGGATAAGGAGTCGCTTTGTTGAGAAAGTCGGTGTCCTTTGAGCAACGACTGCGGATGCATAAGAACGCGGTGGTTATTCAGTTAGTCCGGAATCCAAAGTTAGCCTGGCCAAAGGATAATGCGAACAACCAGCGGTATGCACAAATCCCTGCCGAATGAGCGGAACGAATGGAACAGGGAACCATCGATAAGGCGAATGCGTCAAACTGAACTTGTACCACTAACCCAGTTAGTCTGGGGAACAACTGGCATTGGATCCTGGATTCTCGGAGAGGGGGCCATATGGAGCTGGGCCACATGTGTCCTGGCACAATGCGCATCCTGTTGCGAACGCACCCGAAGCTGAAGAAACCGAATGCAAAAACCCGAATACGGTCCACCCCAAAACGAAACGCACGAAGTTTGAATCGCTGCCGCAGAAGTTCGATGGAGCAGTTTGAGCGGAATTCCCAGCAACATTCAAATGTTGAGACTCAAAGATAATGTTGAGACTCAAAAGATAATGAATATGCTATCGCCTCGATTTAATGTGGTTCTGGGACCTTATCGCTTGGTAGCGACACGTTTTCGACGGGGTTACGAGGGGTAACGATCCCACAATGTAGAGCCCACAGTAGGTCTACAAACTCGTCGGCACAATGACGTCTCCCTTTGGCGGTGTAACCTGTTTCTGGCTTTCGCTCATCTGGCTCCAGCTGGGACTCGTCAATGCCGGACTGGAGTTCCTCAGGGTTTTCGTACCCCTAAACCTCGTAAGACTGCGCCAAATCGAAGACGAGGAACGCGAATTTGAGGGCGAGTGCACTCTGGGAGCCATCAGTATTCGAATGTTTGCCTTCTAAGGGCTGTTAAACTTTCTACCTACAACTACGATTTAAGGTCATTGTGATTATTACAAATTATTTTAAGTTGAAAATTGCAAAATTAACAGTTGGTTATAAATAACCAAATATATAAATAACCAAATATGCACTGATTAAATATAACATATCTACTACCAACAAAGTTAATAATTTAATGTAAAGAAAAAGCAAGCCAGTTTCAAAATTTTTGAAAGCTTTTTATTTTTTAAATATAGTCTAGTAGAATAAATAAAGTAGGTTGTGGCTTTATTGAAATTATTTATCAGGTAATAAGCTGCTGTAAGCAAAACAAGTCTGGTTTTTTATTTTGCCTTTTGAATATTTATTATTATGTAAATCAACGACGAAAGTCAATACAAAGTGTTGTACCAAAGCGGGTTTAAGGAATGACAACAAAATCAACGCCTTTATAAAGAACAAAGAAAGGTTGAAGAAATTGCTTACAATCTATATAAGTTAATTAAAAAAAATAAATTCAAGGTCTAAAATTCGTAAGATAAAAAACATTTTTAATCAGAAAGAGATTATTCAAGTTTGTCGAAAAACACAAGTGGGATTGTTTTGTTAAAGCAAAACCTGGCAAATGACAAAGTGTTGCTTAAATATTGCTAAAGAATAATAGATGGCTTAAAGTATTCCAAGCTATAGAAATTTAATTTATGAGTTATACACCTCTCTAGATTGTCCAGCATTGTAGAACTTCGCATTTAATCTTCGGCCAACTGCAAATTTTAATTAAAAATTCATCTCTTCTACGAACGCACAAAAAAGTGTCATTTATTTGGGGCAGAATTCGGACAGCATGGGGTTGCTTATCTTGCGTTGACATACCTTGTCAGTTCATAGAAATATAAAACGAAATTTATGGCCAGTCCGGAGTCTTGGCCAAGTGGTGAGAACTTCTTCTCCGACGGACTAGACTTGCACTGCTTTTTGCCATTTCGCCATTTCTCCATTTCGCCTTTATTGACAGCTGAAAGTTCATTTTCTGTTCGATTTGCGTCCCGCCCCCCCGACTACGGCGCTTCAATAATATTTCATTACGCTGCCTTGGGGTCGGGAATTTATCCATTTGCATAATTCCCTTGTTTACAATTTGTGTGCCACAGAAGAGAGCGATTGACTTAAATGAAGTTACAACTTGGCAGCAGCCAGCTAAGTGAGAGCAGCAGTTGCAGTATAAGAAAATTTATAATATTCAATTTATATGCACTTTTATGCAGTTCCTTAAGGCGTCCTAGGAGTAACAACAAGTATACTCCTCGAGGAGAGCAACAGAAACAACAGAAACAACTGCAACTGCTAAGCTGATAATCCCAGATTTCAAGGCGCCAACAGCTGCACCCACTCAGGCAGAGCCACGCCCCCCTTCCCGCCTGCTACCGCCTCTCTTCCGGCGCTGTGATTAATGAGATTTGTCACTGGCTTCATTTGTATTTTCCATGCTGTTGACTGGGCTAGAAGCCCCTGCCCCGCCGAAGCTCACTGACATGCATATAAATTTCATAAATGCCAAGGAGCCTGCAATTGCACGACGAGAAGAAGAGGACCCCCGACCAAGTGGCGTGTCCAACAGCAGCTGGCCTGCGAATTTGCATTTTCATTATTTTCAACTCAATTTAAAAATGAAAATCACCAAAGACAAACAGTGGCTGGCGGCAGGTCAGGCTGCGAAGCGGAAGGAAGTCGCTTAGTCGCTGGCCTGCCTTATTATGATTCGCATAAAAATAAAAGCCATGGGCTCCTCATACCCCCACCGATAACTAAGTGGCACATTAAATTTACCCGAGCCTATAATTCATTTGCTAAGCCCGCCTCGGATTCGGCTTGAGTTCCGCTTCCATGGCTGGCCAAGATGATCATTAGGACGGGGGCCAAGGACGGCTTATACTTACTGTGTACCCTGTTCCTTGGGCACAGGAAATTCGTCCTGGAAAGGATGCACCACACAGAGCATGCCATTAATGTTGTACACTTAGAATGGGAGTATGTGTTTTAACAGAGACACAACGAACAATTATATGATATAAAAAAAATGCACACGATAAGTAAAGCAGACGGAGACACAAGTATAAAAGTTTTTATTAAATGTTAATGCAACAATTATTTTTAGCTTAAGCTTTTCAACTTATTTTTTCTTTTGATTTTTGTTAACTCTAACATGGATAATTTTATTACAACTTTTTGAAATGTTTTTTAGTTACAATGATAATATATAAACAACAAACATATTAAATACTAGCGATAAGCAATATATTTAATATGATTTTACTCCAATGAAGGATATGTGTGGAAATGTTTTAACCCATTGTTAACCCAATAAGTACTTCCGAATTTTTGCCATATAAAGAAGTTAATGCTTTCTTTCTTTTTCTTTTTCTTCAAACTGTTACATAAAGTTGAAATGTTAAATTATTAAAATTTAATGTTGATTTTTGGGAAATTTACGTTTCAAATGCTCCAAACTTTGTACAACTTATTTTGAATATTAGCATTATTTATTTCTTTACGTGTCTTTTACCTTTTACAGTTTAAACTTTAATGTGTATACATCCGTGATACCAACTTTTTATCCTTGCGAGATACAATTATGTTAGGGTATTATCAGTTTCGACGCCCTGATGGCATATCATCTCATTTTATTCATTCGTCTTTGTGCTTTATTATTATTTTTGTTTTTAGTGAATTTGTAGCTGCATTTCGGGTATCTCCACTTGGTCTCAACTCAGCTCAACTCGGACCGGCTGAGTTATGGTGGGCAATAAATTTATATGACATATAAATGTAAATAATTGAGCAGCGCGGAGCCGCCGTCTAGAGTTGTCACAGCGGTGAGGCCAGTGGCTCAGGGGTTGAGAGAGGGTTTTGTGAGGGGGGTTCAGGGGGTTGTTAAGGGTGGCTAAGGGTGGCTAAGGGGGGCTAAGGGGTGCCAGCGGCTTGTTGACTCTGTGATTGATGTTGGCCCACTCTGCGGCTGCTCACTGAAAAGTCCTTAATGGCCATTCTGCGTCGCGCATTTAATTTAAAGTTTTGCTGCATCGTTGTGTTACACATTTATTGCTTTTGGTTTTTTACTTTTATTCTACAGTATTTGGGTTGAACAACAACCTAGACAGTCAGGGCGTAGAAAGGGAAGGGTGAGGTCATATCGATGCGCAGTTTCTTGATCACATAGTTGATCTGGTCCTGGCTCTTCAGTCCGTAGGCCTCGAAGGGTTTCACATAGAAGCGGCTGATGCGATTGCCCGAGATTTTCATCAGGAACTTGTAGTAACTGGGCCGCAAAGCACGAGCTTCAAGAATGGCCGCGTGGAAGAGCACGGCCGTGAAGAAAGCATACATAATCATGGCGAAATTGGGTACTTCGGGCAATTTTCCCTCAGCACTGCCCCAGTTATAGAAGAGTTGTAGCGCCTTCCACATCAGATACAGGGCCACTGTGGTGTTGGGGAAACGCAGTAGACCTATAGAGCCGATCAAGCCAGCCGGAATGGCGAAGAGAGCATTGTCGTAGCCAAAAGAGTGACGCAGGCTGCATGAAGTTGTCTGTAAAGTAACTTAATTAGTTTAAATAAAATATTATATATTTAATTTCCTATAAACCTACCTTGAAAAGCAGTGAGAAGATGCCTAAGGCAAGTCCCAACTGCAGGGAGCCCTGGTTGAAGATCTGCTTGCGCCACTGCATCTTCAACTGGAAGATCTTGGTGATGTTGAGCAGCAGCTTGAGACCCACCGATAGACCCACGCCCCCTAGAAAAGGTTTCAGGCCACCCAGGAGGGCGTAGGGAGCACAACCTCGCTTGTGCGGACAACTAGGATGCTTGGCCTTGAGCACACGGTCGTAGAGCTGCAGATACGATGAAATGCAGCGGATGTTGAGGGGAGCCTGTCGAGAGCTTTGCGAAGTGGCCACCACGGGAGTCTTCAGCGGACCCTCCTCCTCTTTGCCCACGATCAGGCCCAAGGCCTTGAAGGTCGCATCCTTGGCCACGGTCTTATGAAGCCCCACGCGATATAGGTACATCAGGGCGGTGACACTGAGGCCCATGATGAGCACCTGTGCGTTGGGAATGGATCGCACCAGTCCTCGGGCCTCCAGCATATTCCACAAAGCTTCGATGCCCTCATTGGCCACGTACATGGCCAGTGGAGCACGGCGCTCAGGACGCTCGAAGGCGATGCAGGCGAAGCTGGCCAGGAAGGAGGGCAACCAAGCCACTGTCCAGAGGTAGAAACCACCGAAAAGCTGGCGCAGCAAGCACACAGCAAACACGAAGAGACCTCCATTCATGGAAAGGAATGCGCTCGACTGCAGGATTCCAGCTGCAGTGCGTCCGAGGTCCTTCAGCGAGGGGATGCGTCTCCGCATAATCAGGGCCAACTGTGGGTGGAAAATCAAATGTAATGTTTTTACAGTAAAGGTATTTGGAAAGGCATTCACTAGCAAAAATAAAGTTTTAAATTATTTTCAAGGTTAATTTTACTAATATCAATAAGCTGCAATATAATTTAATAACTTTAAACTTAAGAACTAATACATAACCTTTGCACCTAGTTCTTTAACTTCGTATCAACTCAACTCTAGTGCGTAACTAAGGTAGTTGAAAAATACTTGTTATTTATAATACAAGGGGGGCATTAACTCACCCCATAAACAGTGACGTAGGTACGCAGAGCGGGGGGCATCTGGGAGATCATCATGCCCGCAGCAGCACAGGCACAGCTCGAGGTCCACGGATGATGGTACTCATAGCAGGTGCAATTCAAGGCCATCTCGGCCAGCTTACTTTGGGCTGCCATGATCCACTTTGAAAATCGACTTATGCTCTGCCGTCTACGATTATCGAATTGGCTCCGTCCAAGATGATAAAGCTTATCAAGAAAAGGGGCTTATCGTCGATAGTCCGAATGCGCCACGGAAATGCTCTGGTTATATGTATATTTGAATTTCCAGATTCTTTATTATTCCTGCGTAATTTCAGCCAGAGAATTTCTGAAAAACGTTTATTAAATCTGAATCTCTATGTTCCAAGTTCGTCGATTCCCAGAAATTATTGCATTTGGCATTTCTTGAATCAGCTGTCGCTGGTAATCCACTTAGTTTTAACTGAAGATCGGATGTCGCATGTTTTTACACATAGAAAAAGAGCACATTACATTATTTATTCGTAATGGAAATAACTAAAAGGACAAGTAAACCTTTTGTATGTATAACACAAACCTTTTGAAAATTTGTTTATCAAATGTATAGTATTTAATATTTTCTCCTCCGAGGGAATTACGGTCTGGCCTGGTCGGCCATCAAATACAACTGACTGCCTACAATTAGCCACGATTTGGCCAAGAGTGTTCTGCGTGTAGACGCGCCTTAGAAGTTCCATTCCGTCCGTAAACAGCAAAATAGTGCCCCACAGTTCCCCCGAGTTCCCCAAATGGTTCGGCTGAAGTGCGCCCAGTTATCGCAAACTACACACGCGAGCAGAAAGTTGGCTAGTTGCTCAATGGCGATCGGTTTGTTGACGTTGCGTCACTCTAGCCGGTGTATTTCTTATCAATTTTAAAGGGTCTCCACGGTGTTAGATTTCTCTTAGATGCATAGTTCTCTTTAGAGGAAGTACTCAGTTGCAATAACTATGGTATATTTTTTATCAATTTTAAAGAGGCCCCAGTGTTTGATTTCTCTTAGATGCATATTTCTCTTTAGAGGAAGTACTCAGTTACAATACCTAAGTGACTTTTACCCAAGTCAAAATAGTACGATAGTTATTTAATACTACTTTCGAAAGATCAGTACACATTGTTTTTAAAGTCGTTTCATAATACTTAAACATACGTTTACATAAAACTACGTTTGCCTCCTTTTTAGGTAATTCCTAATCTGCACAAGCTTGTCTGAGAAATGGTTTATTGCTACCATGCCAGACGAAATTTGTGGCTGATCGGGTCGTTAAGGTTTGTTTACGCTGAATCATCTCAAGACGATGGGGATTCCTTATCAAATTTTAAGAGCTCTCACCAGTAAAAGTGTGTTAATTTCTCAAAGCTTAATTTTGTATTTCTCTTAAGTGGCTACTCCAAAAAAATTAAGCTTTTAAAGCTTGAAGGTTGTTCCTATTTTCACATTTATTAACGTTATTGGTTCTTGTTTTATTTATTATACATTAAGAAACCCAATCGTAGAAAGTTTGCATTACAAAAATAAAAATCCAATAAAAAATGTTGGAAACTATTAGAACGTAAAACTTATAACACCCACTTAAGTAAGAAGATGATTCTCAAAAGGTATTCTTGTGATTTACATTTTTGAAAGATTTATTGGTACCAAGTAATAAAACATAATTTACAATTCCACCCATACTAGCTTAGGTTAGTAATCGTTGGCCGCTCTTTGAGCGCGGGAGACTCTTGACGTATATACAACTCGCTGTAAAACACGGATATATGGAGATATAATGGGGCCTCCAGTAAAGCAGACAAGTCTAAAAAATTCCGCTACTGTTGGCTCAGGAGGCAAATGCGAAGGCGGGCAGCGCTGACTTCTCCACAATGTTTAGTTTTTTCATGGTGTCCCACGCCTGCTGCTGACTGCTCAGTCCGAAAACATCAAAGGCGCTCAAATTAAATTTGGTTAATCTGATGGAGAGAAGCGATTCTTAATCGGTTTCTTAGAGCTGCGTGTGCGAACTTTGCTTACCGATCGCCCGAGATGGCCTGCAGAAACTTAAAGTAGCTGGGACGCAGGTTCTTGGGCTCCAGGATGCCCGCATGGAAGAGTACAGCCGTGAAGAAGGAGTACAGGAACAGCATGAAGTGGGGAATGCGCGGCAGAATGCCTCGCTCCTGACCCATAGTGCACAGGATCTGGGGATTTAGTAGGTATTTAACTGGCTTTCTTCAAACATTAGTTTTGTATAAGCGGCTCACCTGCAGCGCCTTCCACATGACATACAAGGCCACCGTGTTATCAGGATATTGAGTGAAGGCCACGGAGGCTATCAATGAGGCAGGAATGGCAAACCTGGCATCATCCCGGTTGAAACTGTGCCGCAGCAAACAGGACACCGCCTACAAAGATGCAATATAATCATGGGCTATTGGTTACAAATGTTGTAAGGCTTGCGCCTACCTTATAGAGGAACGAAAAGCTGCCCATGAAGATGCCCAGCTGCAGGGTGCCACGGTTGAAAATCTGCTTCTTCCAGGCCATCTTCTCATCCGTGATTCGTTTCACGTTCATCACCAGCTTCAGAGCCACCTGAAGTGCCACTCCTCCCACGAAGGGTTTGATGCCACCGATCAGTGAGTTGCCGATGCAGCTCTGCTGGTGCCGACAGCTGTCATGTTTGGCGCGGATCAGGCTGCTGTAGACGCGCACAAAGTCAGAGACAGAGGAGAAGCTGACGGTGGGACGTCGCCGGGTGGGAGCGGGCTGCTCGCCAGGAACTGCTGGACCTGACTTGGCCACCGGTCCCGCCTCCTCCTTGCCCACGAAAATCCGCAGAATGTTGAAGATGGAGTCCTTGGCGGCACCAGTTCGATACAGGTAGAGCAGCGCCGACATGCTCAGCCCGAAGATGAGTGTCTGTCCATTCGGTATGGAGCGCACCCAGCCCCTCGATTCGGCCATCTTCCAGAGCGTTTCCGTGGCCACATTGGCCACGTAAAGAGTGAGCAGCGGACGGCGGGCAGGTCGCTCCACCAGAATGGCCGAAAACGAGGCGAAAAAGCATGGAACAAAGGCCACCGTGGAGAAGTGATAGCTGCCCATCAAGTGCCGCAGTGCGCAGTTGTACAGGATGAAGGTGTAGGCGTTGGTCACCAGGAAGGCCGTCGACTGGATGATGCCGAGCAGTGTCTTGCGCAGATCCTCGCGACTGGGAATGCGGTGGCGCATCAGAAGCGACAAAGCGTACACTATTGTGTAGACCCTTAAGCAGTAGGGTGTGGTCGAGAGCAGGATTCCTGCGGTTGCGCTGATGCAGTGGTCCGTCCATGGATGCTGGAACTCCTTGCAGGTGATGGACAGTGGGTTGATCAGCTTGCTCTGCCCTGCCATTGTGGAATGTAGATCTGTGAGGAGAGAAAAATAAAGGTATTAATAAAATATTCTTTATTACAAAGAAACCAGTCCATAATTTATATTTAGACCTTATCGGAATTGGTAACATTATAATTATGAAAGGAGTCTCTTTTTAATTTATACCACCCAAATTTATAAGATAACCATAGTTAATGTGAATATAAGTTAGTTTTTGATAAGAAATTACCCCATAGGTAGTGACGATAGCAAACATAGTAATCAAACCTACTCATACGCCTGGTACAAAATGGAATATGTTTGATAAGAAACTAATAAATCAAAACTTTCTGCGCGGGTGGAATAATTTCAATTGTTAATCACTGTATATGGGGTGGCCGAGTCCGAGTCCGTTTTTTAACCTTTAATCTTATCTTCAGGCCACGGGTATGCAAGATGTTATTATTTTCCTATCGGTTGTTCCACTGAACTTGAAAATAGCCCCAAAAATAACTTTGCTTTGTTTTTTATACTTCTTTTTTTCGCTGAGGGGGCGGACTGCAACTGCTGCTGGACGGGCCAGAACTGACTTGTTTCCCAAGGCAAACCTTGGAAAGTTGGCTTGGATCGGCGGATTACAGCTGTTCGGTGGGTATCTATGGCAATTAACTGCTGTCTATCGATAAGATACACATACGCGAGATTAGCCGCTGCGGGGGATTTGCCAAAGGCATGAACAAAGGCTCTACATAATCATTAGGATTGGTCAATTTTTGTTGATAAAGGAATGGAGTGAGAAGTGGGATCTTTTAAGGTGATTCATCATTATATACTTATGTACCTGCAAAAAAAAACCAAATAAAGCGCGATATTTGAGACCTTAAGTCAACTACTCATTTTCCATATACAAAATACGTTGCTTATTCGCCACAATGTAATGAGTAATTAGGTGAAATGTTTAATAAGTAATATATAATATACTCTCAAAAAGAAGAATACAAAACCAAACCTTTGTTATGACATTACGACATTGAGTGAAATAAAAGTAGCAGCAATCCACTATTTGATAACACATTACAGCAACAAATTCAAAATCGTTTAAACTTTCTCTCTAAAAATGTCTACTTGGGGAACCAAGGGAATTTTTTTTGATAATGTGTCATTACAATCAAGATTAACCTTAACCTAAGACAGACTTTAGATTAAAATAAATTTGTTTAGGGATTTTAAAGTCGAAATTTGAACGAGTTCCCTCATTATATTTTAACCTTAGGCCCCGATATAGCGATTTGCATGAGGTCAATGTCGATTCGAGACATTAGCGCAATCTTACGGAGAGTGCTATGAATAATACCCAGTACTCCGTACTGCTAATCTGTATTATCGAATGATATAGAGAGGTACTTACGATTCAACTGCTGGACACTTGACGGCGGGCAATAAACTGAACAGTCGGTAATCACCAACTTGATTCGAGATATGGGTTAGTGCTGACTTTTTAATGTGCTGCTTAATATTTGTCCAGATTCGAGATTGCTGCTGGCGTTACGACGTTTCCAAGTTCCGGAATGAGAATTTGACAATGTGTGACAGCTTACGTCGAAATCCCCGAATTGTGATTTGGGTGAACAGCCCTGATTGCCCCGATTCCGGATCCACTCGACATCGAATGAGAAATCTTGCGAGTTTAATGGATAGTGGATAATGGATGGTGTTATATGGGGCGGCGGCAAAGTCCAACAACAACAAGTGGTTGGGCGGGGTGGAAAACACTTTCTGCACCCACTGCCTTCGAGCAGCAAATGCTGCTTGTCTTAGCAGGCCTTCAGCAGCATTTTCCCACTGGCCGCGCGACTTTTATCACTGTTTTATCTGCCTTATTTTGACGGGAATTGCGCGTTTTGTAAACAATAATAAGCAATCTGCTGGTCATCGGCTGTGCTGCGCCCGTTTGCCTATCGGTAATCGATATATCGTGCCGAGAACACATGCCAGCGAGTGCTGTAGCAATCAGCTCTTGGCTGTCGAAAATAGGCGCGAATTTGAATTGCTGGCTTGAAAACTTATGAGCTTGACAAATTTTGTATATTTTTATAAAAATGTTTAACTCAAAGTACATTTTTGTAAATGCATACATTTCAATACAATAAATCAAGTGTTATTTAATTAAAATTTATTTAAAATGTCACCGTCATTTAGCTAAAGAAGCCAAAGTAAGTAATATTTTAGAATAATTGTATAAAGTATCTAATTCTAATAAACCCATATTTATGGAAATTACATTTATTAAGCTAACTTTACTTACTTGATATGTTAATGCAAATAGAGTTCTCACTTGTTCCTTATTAAAATCACACTTTCAGCCAAGAGTGAAACTTAATTGGCTGAAAATTATCTAGACAAGCTAATGAATCTGCTTGGGCTGTCTACCCCTCCCCTCCCCATCCGCCACCAACGCTCCTTTGCGTCCTGCCGCCCACGCGTGCCTCAAATTTTCATTTGCGAATCCTGCGGCAGTCTCTGAGGCCACAATTCGTGCCACAACCATTATCTCAGGCTGCCTGACGACCAAAGCACTTGGCCTGCCAAATTGTTTGCCTTTCGAGCAGCAAGTAGACTCCGCCAAAGACTGTGGCTGTGCCAGTGCAATCAATTGGATTTCGGTTGTAGTTCATAATGTGTATCTGTGCATGTCTCTGGCTGAGCTCTTGTTCAGGTTTCAGACCTCCACTTCCATTTCCATTTCGTCCTTTTCCTTCTGCTTCTTTTCATTTACGCATGCACTGCGAGAATAAGAACTTATTAATTTATGTATGTAAATCTTTTTTAAAAGGACTCTCAAAATTATTATCTTCAACAAATTAAAAGGAATATTAAAAACCTACTTTTTTAAAGGCAAAATTTAACAAATTAATTGCAGACATTATTTATTAAGTCAGAACGAATTTACTCTATCACAAACTTAACAAAATTCTTTATCGAAATATCTGTAGCACTTCAGGATTTGTATTTATTTTTAATCGTTAGGGAAATACAAAATAGTTAGCACCATCTAGAGAAAAAGATTACCTTAAAATTTTAGGAATTGCTGCTTTATTGCTTAAAATTACTATATGCTATAAATTATTACCTTTAAAAAACATAAATATTTTAAAAAACCTGAGGTCTAAAATGTGCATTAATTACGAACTGTTGGTTAAATGTCAAAATATGAATTGATTTAACTTAGTACGCAATTTAATTATAAACATATATTTTTCCCAATTTTCCCCAGTGTATTGACACGGCACTGTGGATATACCAAATATTTCGTTATTGTTTGTGGCTGCTCCCACTGCTGTTGCTGTTGCTGTTGCTTTTGCTTTTGCCATTTACCTGTGGCATGGCTTATTTTGAAAAGCCAAAAGCGCTTAAGTAGTTCATTCAGGAGAAGGCCTAAGCAGATGGGGTGAGTCCTGTCCGGATCCTTTCCTCCTTTGTGGTCGCCGCGTAGCTTCACTTCTGCTGCTTGCCGCTCAAATGCTTAGCGAAATTGCGGTTGCTTTGTGTGATTCGCTTGTTTTTGCCTTTTGGCTTAGGCAGAGTGTCGTTTTTTGGGGGCGGAGGCGGAGGCGAAGGAGAGTGCCATGTATATCAAATATACTTTACTCTGTCAGGACCTGGCACTCACTTAATTTACTCAAGGTGTTTAGCGGGTGTCCCTGTCCCTGTCCCTTTGCCTTTCCCTTTCCCTGTCCCGAAATAAATTCCTGTTTCTGACGTGTCGTTAGGTAAGCACTCAAGCGGCGAGCTCCCTTATTGTTGTTGCTTATCTAAAGTTGCCCCGCTTTCTTTGGGGTTCAATTGGCAATTAGCCCGGGTGTGCAGACCAGGTTGCAGGTTGCAGGTCGAGTGCAGGATAATTGTGGAAATTGCTGGCGGGCAGAGAGGCGGAGCACACACACACACAGCACCACACACAAGGACCTTGTGAGCTGTCAATCCGGCAGCCACTTAGGAATCAATTTGTCCAGCGAGCCGTGCGTTTAATATGCAGCGAGGCTTCAAGGAACGGATTTTCCGAATACTCAGCCAGCTAGGGGTTGGGTTTTCATTGAGTTGCTTGACCACACAGGACTCCGGCATTTATAGACTTGTCTTGGGCTCATTTATCCTGGTCCACAAACCAGCCGAAGCCCAAAACCCGAGACCCGAAGCCCGAAGCCCAAAACCCAAGCCCCTCTGGCATGGCTTAATGCGGAGGTCCTGTTCAGGATGCCGCCTGCATGTGGCCATTTGTTTAGGCCCCCCTTTTCGAGGGTATGTGTGTGTGTGTTTGTGTGGTTGCGTCCAAATGTGTTCAATTAAGCGGTAATAAATTGTTCATTTGCTCATTGGTGCGCACGGCCATTACAGAAACAGCAGAATCGGGACAAGGATCTACGGCCGGAGGAGACATTGTCGTCACTGTAATATTTTATGCGGACCAGGACCAGGACCAGGACCAGCAGCGTACATTGATGCATATCCTGCCATTAGCAAGCCTTTTGCATAATACACAATTAATTTTGCACAAAGTTGTTATTTTATTAATTGCTTTCATTCGTTTCATTTCTCTTGGCCACGATCACAAGTTGGTTAACCTAACCTGCTATGTTCGCCCCGAATCATCAATGGTTGTGGGAAGACTTTGACCATACAGTCAGCCCAAAAATCGTCCCTTCACTTTCCCATTATCCCATTTTCCGATTTACCCATTTTCCACTTTTGCCACCCAAAAATGTGGCCAAGACCGCATTGACTTCAGTTCAAAATAGACATTTTGCGGCTTCTGCTAACGAAGGAGTGTCAAAACAGACAGTTTACCAAAACCCCAATACCAAACCATGATTGTTTTCTTGGTGCAAAATCACACATGTTCCATCGTCCGTTTGGCGAAGGAGTAAATGTGTCAAACGTCACACAGCCAAGCAAACCGAAAGACAATTGCCGCAAATGCCGGAAATTGTTGGCAAACGTGAAATTAACAATGAATTATGCTCGGCCTTTACTATTTAGTCCCTCTGGATATCAACCAGTTTCAAACAAGGGGGATCGCTATCGCTATCGAGTTCACTGTTTCTTGTTTTTAACTGAAAAAAACAAAATTAACTCTTACAAATTTCTAAATTAATCTAAACTAAAATTGATAGTTCAGTTCAAGTACTGACACAATGTTTCTAATTTATTTATAATGATTTGTATTTAAAAATACATTTGATAAGCATCAACGTTCGAGAGCAAATACGACCTTAAAAACGAATGTGTTTGACTCTCAGATTTGACCAATCTTCATGCAAATCACACAACATATTTCTCTGCTCATAGAGTACATTGTATTATCTAAAAAGTATCAAAGGGATCGGGACTTTGAGCCCTTTGAGTGGTTTGGTGTAAACCCTCTTTCTGGTTTTCATATGCAAATGTGGTCACTTGGGAGGAACAACAGCAACGTCAACAGGACCAAAATCAATTCCCGTCGTCCCAGCCGTGGTGCAATATTCCCGAAGCAAAGTCAAACGAAATTAGTTTGCTGCTCATAAAACTTTGCCTCGAAGTTTGCGCTGCCCACATCCACATTTTCACTTCCAACGCCAAAGTCCAGGTAAACTTTGGGGGTATGTGTGCATATAATAAGTTTGGCTTGCCGCCGGTGGGTGAATAAATTGGGGGTGCTGGTTGGCAGGTAAAAGGTGGGTCTGGGAATTTCGGCAGGTAGAAGGAGCCACCGGAAACCTGGTTACCCTACATGGCTCTTCACCCGAGATTCGAGACTTGAGACATGGAAAGTTTTTGGCGCTTGACTGGCCAGTGGTGGGTCCCAAAGCTTTAATTGTATTTCAAGTTCCAGGCTGTACTCTTCGGACCCGCCCATCAGCCCACTTTTTTCGAGAGCACTTCAATTTCCATGCGTGATAAATGGAAAAATGCAAAAATCCTTCTTTCGTTTGCTTTTGACCCGATGGGCTTGCTTTTCGCGCTGCGATTCGCTGTCCGCAATGGAAGCAACATTTCAGGGCTTTTGTCTTTCAATTTGGCCCAAAAATCTCTTTTGGCCAACTGTGGTGCCAGTAACCGCCCCCGCCCGCCTTCTTTTTCCCCTTTAATCGCTCTGTTTGCATTTTAGTGGCACAGTTCTGTAGGGCAACGCATATGGCTAGCTTTAGAATTGCATCGGCAAGACTTTTGCATACAGTCAAACCTGGGTACTGACGAAACTTTTAGTGGCAGAGGTACCATCCTTAAATGACTCAAGTGTATTAAAGATTATTGAACTTTCATGAAGTTTATATTATTAAACACACATACTTGAAAATATCATAGTTTTTAACAAAGTTGAGTACATAAGAATTATGGTTTATTAAAGTTTATTAAACATTGATTTATGTTTTATTAACAAATCACTGAAACTATTACAAAATATTTTTTTAATTTCTACGAAAGACAGCTCTGTATTACTTAAATTTAATGTAAACTTTTAAAAGTACATTTATTGTTATGGATGATGCATTCGAATTGCTTATTTATGCATTAGCGTTTTTTTAATTTTATTTTCATTGAAATATTAAACAATATAATTTAACCCGCATATTTTGGATATTTTTAATCCCAAAAACTATCTTTTAATTTCGTCATGTGACTATGTAGTAGACTGATAGCACTGGAAATGTTAGATTTAATATTATTTTAATAGGACTTATATTTCGTATTTTAAATAATTGTCAAAAATAAGTTGTCTTGACGGGCTTTACTGTGGATATCTTAGTCCGACCGCGTTGTATAATTGGGCTAACGTGTTTTGCGGGCGTAATTCATTGTGTTTATATTCTCTCACTCTGGCTAAGCTGAATTGCTGAAAGCTGAAAAGATTTAATTTATTTCAAGTGCGAGGGAAAAAGACTTCACTTTCCCCGAATTGGACTGCGTCCGGGTCTTGGGTTTGATGCGCTGGTTTCGATCCGCTTTCGAATTGCATTTCAAACGTTTCAATTGCTTTCCGTCGGATTCAATCTTCGAGTGATTTATTGTGTTGCCTTCACGGGCTGAAAAGGATGAGGGAACTTGGATGGGAATCGTGATTGCGTTTGCCTAGGCATAACAATTATCCGCTGTTTATGTACACGAAATCAATAATTAAGTTGTGAACAAAGCCCTGAATTATAAACTGAACTCTATGCATTAACTGTAAACAGTTCTATAATTATGTCATTACGTGGCAAAACAAAGGCTGCGTGTTCCTTGGACAAAGGTCTATAAAAGAACTCCGAGCAACATTTATTCAATTAGTTCAGAGAATGAAGTTCATGAAGTACGCAGTTTTCTTTTACAAATCTGTGGGCATTGAGCCGTATACGAAGTCCTCTCGTCCAAGGAAAATCAGTCTGTGGTCGAATCTCCTTTTCTGGGCAAACGTAATCAATTTGAGTGTGATTGTTACTGGCGAGTTTCTTCACCTCGTAATTTCATTCTCCCATGGAAAATTAATTGATGCCGTCACTGTAATGTCCTATATAGGATTTGTGTTCGTGGGAATGAGCAAGATGCTCTTCATCTGGTGGAAGAAACCGGACCTAAGCAATATGGTTCAGGAACTGGAGCACATATATCCTCAAGGCAAGGATCAGGAGAAGGTCTATCGCTTGGATAGCTATCTGCGATCCTGCTCCCGTATTAGTATAACCTACTCCCTCCTTTATTCGGTGCTCATCTGGACCTTCAATCTGTTCAGCACTATGCAATTCCTCGTCTACGAGAAGTGGCTCAAGATCCGCGTAGTTGGCCAGACTCTGCCATACCCTGTGTACTTTCCCTGGAACTGGGAGGCCAGCTGGTCTTATTATCTGCTGCTATTCAGTCAGTACTTTGCAGGACATACTTCAGCCTCGGGACAGATCGCCACGGATTTGTTGCTTTGTGCAGTGGCCACTCAGGTGGTGATGCACTTCGATCACCTGGCAAGGGTGGTGGAAAACCATCACTTGGGTGAGGACTGGAGCGAGAACTCAAGATTCTTGGTCGGGGCTGTTCGATATCACCAGCGTATTTTACGTCTAATGGATGTCCTCAACGACATATTCGGAGTACCCCTCCTGCTCAACTTCATGGTGTCCACATTTGTCATCTGCTTTGTGGGATTCCAAATGACCGTGGGAGTTCCACCAGATATCATGGTTAAGCTTTCTTTGTTCCTGTTCTCCTCAATGTGCCAGGTGTACTTGATTTGTCACTACGGCCAGTTGATTGCCGATGCGGTAATGCTTACGCAATCAGATAACGATCTGTAATGTATTTCATTAATGTTTTATTAATTTTCAGAGCTCTGGCTTGTCCATTGCTGCCTACAAACAGAACTGGAATGATGCTGATGTTCGCTATCGTCGTGCATTGGTATTCTTTATAGCTCGACCCCAAAGAACTACCTATTTGAAGGCCACAGTTTTTATGAATATAACGAGGGCCACAATGACTGATGTAAGATCCATCTGGCTTTTTTTCGATTTGTTAAAATTATAATTTATTGTGTTTTTCCAGCTGCTTCAGATATCATACAAATTTTTTGCTCTGCTCCGTACCATGTATATCAAGTAATCCATTTAGGGCGAAACTTATTTAATGAAACTATAGTATCAAATATTAATTGGTCATGTATACTTCATATAATTAAAAATTTAAAATAAATAATAATTTTGTTTCTTTCTGCTTTTGCTTTGCCGATAGCCGGGTTTCCTTTGTTAAAACACCAATAATTGTAAATATTCGATTTGATAAACAAATTTCTTCGACACAAATATATAAATTACAGAAACAGGGTCTACAAAAGTATACCTTCGCCGAAAGCTTATAATTATCATATAATTCCAAGGTTTTTGCATCAAATCAATATTGATTATATATTTGCGTTGCGTGACAAGTAGAAATGGTATAAAAGGCATCCCACCAATTCAGATGCCCCATTCTATTCAAGGAAGTAGCTAAACCCTCTTCGAAGATGGATAAGTTCATGAAGTACGCCAACTTCTTTTACATGGCTGTGGGTATTGAGCCGTATAAAAAGGACTTGTTGGAGCACAAGAACAGTCTTAAGACCCGGATTGTCTTCTGGGCCAATGTGATTAACTTGACTCTGGTTGCGATCGGCGAGAGTATATATTTTCGCAGTGCCTACAACAATGGAAAGCTTCTGGAGGCCGTCACTGTGCTATCCTACATTGGATTTGATATTGTGGGCATGAGTAAGATGTGCTTCATCTGGTGGAAGAAGGCAGCTATGAATGGAATGGTCAGAGAACTGGAGGAAATGTACCCACGGGGAAAGGTGCAGGAGCAGAGGTACAAACTGCAGAAGCATCTTAAATCCTGCTCCAGGATCAGCTTTACTTATTCGCTGCTCTACTCGCTGCTCATCTGGACCTTCAACTTGTACAGCGTTATGCAGTTTCTGGTCTACGAGAAGTGGCTTAACATTCGCGTGGTGGGCAAAACATTGCCATACCTCATGTACATTCCCTGGAAATGGGAGGACAACTGGACCTATTACCCTCTGCTCTTCTCGCAGAACTTTGCAGGATATACGGCAGCTGCTGGACAAATATCCTCCGATCTTTTGCTCTGCGCAGTGGCCACTCAAGTTGTAATGCACTTTGATTATCTTTCACATAGTATGGAGAGCCACGAACTAAGTGGCGATTGGGAGCAGGACTCCCAATTTCTGGCGGATACTGTTAGGTATCACGAACGGATCCTTCAACTCTCCGATGTGGTGAATGAAATATTCGGGATACCACTGCTACTCAACTTTATGGTGTCCTCGTTTGTCATCTGCTTTGTGGGATTCCAGATGACTGTTGGAGTTTCACCGGATATGATTACTAAGCTGTTCCTGTTCCTCTTCTCGTCCATGAGCCAGGTCTACTTGATTTGCCACTATGGTCAGCTGGTGGCCGATGCGGTGAGTTAATCAAGTTAAAAATCGCTTTATTAGAGTCCTGTTTTTGTAGAGTTTTGGCCTTTCGGTGGCTACATATAGACAAAATTGGACTCATGCTGACATCCGCTATAAAAGAGCTTTGGTTATTATAATCACTCGGGCTCAGAAACTGACTTATCTAAAGGCCACCATATTTTTGGACATCAGCAGATCTACAATGACGGATGTAAGTTTATTGGCTTACACTCTTGTATATGTTCTTTAATATAATTTTGTCTTAATTTTAACTATAGCTTCTTCAGATTTCGTACAAGTTCTTCGCTTTGCTACGCACCATGTACGGTCAATAAATTAAATTAAAGGAATTCAATTTAGCTCTAGTCCTTAGACGAAATCAAAAGTAATTATGTAGAATTCAATTTACTCCTAGTCCTTAGATGAAATATAAAATAATTATGTAGATGCCCACTCTACACGGTAGACAAGTTGTTAGTACATATAATTAGAATTTAATTTGTAACACAAAAATAAATCTCTGATGGGCTTAAAAAAAAGGAACATGTTTATTTTATTAATGTGGGGGTGCGAAAATAAAATCTTATTCAAACTAACTTGGCATTTTTCGTGAGTTATCAGGCTTTCATATTTTTGAGTCAGTGATCACAAACTATGAAATTCCTTTGTTTTGAATGCTCATTGCAATTAAGTTTTAATTACATATAATGAATGATTTATTTTGACATAATTAAAGTTGCGAAAGCTTATAATCGTGGGATCACCTTGAACCTTTGCAGATGTTACTTCGACAATACACGCAGACCTTTTCGAAAGCATTGTCCTAAATCAAGTTAGCATTATGGCAAGTCTAGTTAGTTATTATTTTCTATTTTCTCTTATATATGGCAGCCAAATGAACAGTTAGTAAAAGGAATCGTTACATAGAATTTTCTTTCAAAATTATATAAAATAAACAATTTAAAGCAAGGAAAGTTCATGAAGTATAAGGTCTAACATGACGGAAACTAAAATCTTCAAATTTTTCCTAGCTTTGAATCTATGTTTTAGCTTACAAGTTCTTGGTCGTGCGGCGCACTTTGAAGGCCCAATAGGGATAATGGGTGTGTCCAAAGAAGATCCCTCAATCCCTAATCCCCATCCTATGTGCCCCATACAATGCTTTCAAAGGCTCAAAGCGAACTTAATTATGCGGCGGCACGAGCTCCACGCATGTCCATCGCCGCTTCGACACAGCGAAAAAACGTAGTAATCTTTCTAGCGTTCGCCGCTGCCACTGAAAAGGCAATACTACGGCTCCACTGGAGAGCGAGCAAATATGTTGCTACAAAAGAAAATTGCAGAGTACATTTTACACTTCACTGCACACACAAGCTGTGCTTATGAGTTTTCTCTGCTTTGGGTTAAAGGGTACTTGATTTTCTTCTAATTTCCAGAGGCAAAACTACTTTTAACTAGGAAAATTATTAAGTGTTTTAAGGGGGCACAACCAAAAGAGTTACTATTATTATTATTTATTAAATGTTTCGCTAGCGGTTGTTATCTGACCATCAAAATCAAAATTCTCATAAGGCTGACAGCCCGTAAGTTTCACCTTTTCAATGAGCTTCAATTTAGGTAAGATGTTAGATTTTTGTTAGTCTCAAGGGTGTTTGGCACTTCGATCCTGAATTCAGTTTGGCTGGCTGTTGGTGTATGTTTTCTTTTTTGCAATTTTAAGTTTGGCGCATGAAGCAAAGCGGAGCAAAAGAAAGCTCCTTCTGGAGGCAGTGGACAACGAAACCGTTTGATGGCATCTAATGCAGTTTTTCCCATGATGTGTGGCTGTGTGCACGCACTCAACAATATTAGCAATTTATGCGCTGGAGCGTGTCCTGGCTGTGGATGGCTGATGGGCGACAGGAGGGCCAGGATGTGGGAGTTTTTCACATAATATTTTCAATTTTGACGGACTCTGACATCACCTGCATAGTTATTGTTTGAGAAGGCCGCCCGCGTGCATAAAATTTATGAAATCCTATTTTTGTGTCCATCACTCCCGTCCCACAGTTCAATCCAGAAAACCAGAACTCTGTCAATTTCCCTTACTCTGAATACGACATATTTTATTTTTTTGTGTGCCAGGTTTACTTTCTTATTTATTTTGTTCTTTTTTTCCGTCGCTGTGTGCGATGTGGCTCTTTTTGGGGATTTATTTTTCATTCTTGTGAAATTTTTATAAAGCTCCAAATGTGCTACAATTTAATTTCTGGTCACGTTTTGGGCGATTTTCAAATAGCAACAGTTACAGCAACAGCAACAACAGAAAGTAAGGTTGAAAAATTCATTCAATATCTCACGCTGTCATATTGCATAATTTAAGGCGCCCAAACATGGTCACGTTTATTATCCTGTTTATATATATATATATATATATATATATATATATATATATGTTTATATCTGTCCAACCTATCCCAAATCCATGGCTAGCATGAAGATCATATCAGGTGAAGTCAATTACTGATACTGTCACGGTTTTCCTGGCGCCAAGAAAATAATCCACGCCAGGACAACGAATTCAAATTAGCATTCACATGCGGCTTACCATGGAATAATGAAATAAAATCATGTGATAAATCAATAACAAATTAGCTAATAGCCAAACAACATTGCTAAGTCTAGTACACAATATAAGGGTTTTGCAATATTTTCAAATTACTCTGATGCATTTGTGGTCGATGATTACCAATTACTACATTTTAGGCTTTATATTTGGCCTAATTGAAAAATAATAAAATATTTAAACAAATTTAATTAGAGTGTCACCAAAATAGGTTGCGTTTTTCCTGCTTTTTCGTAAACAAAATTTAATAACCTGATTTAAGTTTTTGATATGGTTGATAAAAATCAAATTTTAAAAAAAATTGAGAGAAAAACCAAACAAAATTAATTTTAATGCAGTTTTAAAAAAAGTGGTATCTGTTGCCAGCCTCTTCAACTTACAATATATTAAGTTATTTCATTAAATTGTTTTGATTAATTTATTTGCTGTTGTTTTATAGCCTTAAAAAGTTTATCTTTTACCAAAAGAAAAAGCTTGCAGTTTATTTGTCAAAGGTAAAGTTTCATTTCAATAAAACAATTATCCACTTACTTCATCATCACTTCGATTCCTGTTTTATTACCTTAAAATTCAATTGTACGACCATGAACAGCCGAATGGCTATCAACATAAACATTTTTGTCATTTATGGGCAAATATGAATTTGCATTTTCCATGCAAAATGCATCGTGACCGGCAGAGCGAAAGGAGAAATGGCAAAAAATCATATCTTTTTTCGGCCTTTCACCCGCTCACAATGCTTTTCAGCCATCCAGTCAGCCAGCGGTTGTTAAGTCCACTTATCAAAACGTGCAAATAACTCAACTCCCGGGATAGGGACAAACACGTGATGGCGATGGTTCAGGGGGTGATGCTGATGGTGATGGTGATGGCAACTGGTGCCATGATGACCCAGTGGAGCGTGTTCAATGGCCAATTGGCAAAAAACCGATGGCATTGTTGCAGAAAAGCAAAGGAAAAAATACTATAGTATGTGACCCAATCGCTGGACAAACTGGGGGCAGTGCATTATTGTTGGCCGCGCACTGGCTGTTCTGTTTTTTCAATTAGCTGCCATTAAATTGAATTCAAATATTGAAACAATATGTTGCCATTCCTCGAGCTGGGGATTTTAGTTTCGGCTTAGCGCCAATCTAAGCCCCCACTGCAACCCCCAAAAGCCCGTGATCTAACGTGATTTATTGATTTTGAGAGCAGTTTTTCTTGTCAAAAGTTGACTGCGGCGCATACGCTTGAGTGTCCACGGAAAAATGCTAAAATACTAAAAATTTGGCCACGCGAAAATTGCACAAAAATCGGTTCGAGTTTCATTTAGTTTTCGCATCAAAGGAATCCTGCTCTTTGGTGTTGGGTGAATGTGTGAAAATCCACACGTATCTATATGGAGAATCCTTTTCAACGGCACACTCAATATGGTAGCGTTCTAAATGGAGACTAAAAGCCTCTAAATTAGTTTTTCCAGCATTATTACTCATACGCAGTGGGGCCGCAGCGATATTTTTATGGCCTTGCATTAGGCAAATGGTATGGCATTCCATGAATGTGGGCCAAAATGAAAGACCTGTCTCAGTCCCGATTTTGCGGCAAGACAACATTTCTTAATGGGTTTCATTTTTTTTTGGGTTGCTGCTATTTTGAGCTATGATTGCCGATAATTTAACGTTGGCTTATTGATTTCTTATAGCAGGCCATTAATAGTGGATTTCACCGGCCAACTAATAGCATTCATATTCGAAACGATTTGTCAAAGCGGCGGCGACATTGGATGTTTGCCTTTATCTGGATAATTGTGACAGTAATGCGAGCGATAGTCGGGAATCTATATAAAAGTAATGCGTTGCAATCAGTAAAACTTATTAAGTGCGAAAGAGGAGAGTGGAGGGTATAGTATAGGGAGGTCGTAAGCAGGGCTTAGGCCCTAAGTAGGTTGCTGAGCCTCACACAAAGCGGCCACAAAGACGCGCAAAGATAAGCGAGGGATTTCATTTGCTCATTACTCAACAGCTTACACGGAGGCGGCGGGGTGGGGAGTGTGGGTGTGAGCTTTTCTGGCTAAAAAGGAAGTAATAAGAGTGTGGCTGCGAGCACATAAGAAATGCATGTGCACATAATTCATTTTTTATGCCACATTACAGTAGCAACAAAAATGATGGCTGCCTACAAGGCGTAACTACACCTGCACATATACCAACACAACCGCCGACCGCAGGACTCACACTAACACGTGAGCAAAAAACTTGTGAGAAGAACATTTAGATGGAATGTGTGTGTGTGTGTGTGTGTATTTAAGGCGGTAAAATGTGCGCTTGTCATCGTCTGGAGCTCTGCCAGCGGAAACGGAAGCGACATCCAAGTTTATGTTAAAGTTTGATGCAAAACCCCCAAACTCGCACATACTTACACTTGACTCATAAATTGGCAAACATTTTGGAGCTAGCTATTATTTTTGTTATTTTATATACAAGCTTTCTTTTAACTATGACTCCTTTTTTTTATAAATTCTTAAGAGTCTACAAAAGAATTTGAGAAGAAATACAGTGAAATTTCCAAGTCATTGTCAAAGATTTTGTAATTTTACATATGTTTTTTGTCTTATTCGGAAAAACATTTGTTTATCCAAACTTTATTTGACAAAGGTTAAAATGCTTTTCCCCCCAAACATTTCACATCGCTTATTTACTCAAATAAAATTGCTATTAATTTTAATTTCTGGCTTAGGTAAAGGAAATT